AGTATTAGAAAAATTCTCTGTAATCTGTATAGTATCAAGAATTCTAATAAAATACTAGCATGACTGCTTAAGTTAAATAATAATAATAATAATAATAATAACATAAAGAGTTTTGACTGAATACTAATAAATATAAGTTATTTTTAGTTTGTCATAATGTTTGTATGTTTATAGCATCTAAAATCAAAAATTGTAATTATTAAGTTATTAATATTAATAAAATTTAATTTAAATACATATAGCAACACAATAACATAGCAAATACCTAATCTTTTCTTTATGTATTCTTCATCTACTTGAACACCTTTTGTTTAAGAATATCATTTGCATATTCTACAAGCTTTTGGCTTTGTAGATGCCTTGGGCAATCATTAATAATATAAATATTAGACCATATAGTTAATAATTTATATATCATCTCTACAGTAAATTCACAATTATTATTCTTTAAAAAATAATCAGAGCATTGAAGCAAATAAAAATGTCAAAAAGAAATATAGCTACTTTAATTAGTTATTTACCAGTTATAGCTCAAGCCTATAAATACTGTATGAAATGATTACAAATATGATATATGTAACAATAATCACCATCAGAAATATTGGTCATAGAAATTAAATCTACTTAAATCCTATCAAGAAAGGCATTTGAGATTATTAACTTCACAGCTACTAGATTTAAAAAAATTTTTTGTGTAGCATATGTTATATAGTTCTTTACAAATTCTTTTATAAAAGACTGTAAAATATAACAGTATTGTTCTGAAACTTATATAAAAATTTTAATTAATCAATATATAATATTAACTATTTATTATATGACTACTAGTATTGTAACAAATTATATACTGCATCTTAAAGCTTTATGAACTAATATATTTTAATACTTTTTGATACAAGCTATATAATACTTCATATATTTTATCAACTAGATATACAAATAGGTTTGAATTGACTTTAATAAGCTTAATTATAGGATTTGCTTGTATATTAAGATTACATATAGCAAAAGTTTTTTTTGTTCAATAATGATCTTTAAGCATTTTCAATTATTGTACTTTCTAAATTTTATAAAATCTTAATACAGAAATCAAAGTCTTTATATGTAATAAAGATTTTACATTGCCTAGTAACTGATTTGCCATCAAGATAATTTAAAAACAGATTGTCAAATACATTACAAGATAAGAATAAATAATCTTAAAGCTTGTTATCAGATAGAAAAAATTATAAAAAATGAATAAGCAAAATAAAAAATAAATAAATATATATTTAAATATTTAATTATTTAATACATAATTTTACTTTAGTTATCATTATATTAATTAATTATAATATATTTATTAAAGTATTAAATTTAGAATTAACTTAAGTGCTTTTAAATTTATCAATTACACTTTTATTATAAGCATCAAATTTAAAATCAACTTAAGTTGCTTTTAGATTTTGTATTAACTTAGACCATATTTGAAATTTTGTTTCAATCTAAGTTAATTCTGAATTCATTATAATTCTGTTCTCACATATGACATATATACTATAATATTAAAATTTAAAAATAAATTTATTATATTTTAATTAAATATATTTTCTTATTAATTTACAAATTTATAAAAAATATTTAAATTATATAGTTTTTAATTTCTAACTTTTTTTTATTATACAACCTATATTTTGTCAATTAAATAAAAATGATTGTTATATTATTTATATATAAAATAAATTTTTTTTAAATTTTAAAAAAATTTTTACCAGAATAATTTATAAATAAATACTTGTAAATATAAAAAATATAGTAATTTTTTATATAAAATATACATATATAATAAGTTTATAAAATTAATAATAGAGATATGGTGACCTAGTGAAATAAACAGGTTATCAACCCTCTAAGTGGTTGATTGAGTATTCAAATCCTATTGATGACAAAAATTTGAATAATCACCTATATAATATTTGTATTATAACAACTATTACCAATGATTAGATTAGGATCTTGTAATAGTGGTCACATTAGCATAACTGGTAGGTCACAAGGCATCTGTATAACTTGTTATACAGAAGAATGCAAACTAGCAAATTAGGTAGTGCAAATACTAGGTAAGTTCTTGTAATTATATAAATTCATTGAAATTGGATAACAAGAAGTCCATTTTGAGAAGACCCAAATAGAAAGGTATCTAGATCTTTGATGATTCTACTATAAAGACTAGCTTAGAGAAATAGATATCCAGGTCATAGTACCTGGTTGTAGTACAAGAACCTTTAGGTTGAGAGTTTCAGAAATATCACCAAACAGGCTACCAGAATAAATCAGAGAAAAAGAATATTAGATCAATCTAATATACTGATGGACTGATCATATTTCTATATGAACTATCTGGATTAGAAGTCTGGACAAAAGGCTAGACAAAAATCAGAGGTATACTAAAGTACTAGGGTTATGCCATGAAGTAGATGCTGAGGTTTGTGTAAACTCTACAAAGACTTAGCAGTTTAATAGTTAACTCTGACCACAAGTATTAGTTCTATTATAATAATATTTAGATCAACTGTAAATATTGATACAAAAGACTCTAAAGAGTTTATCTTGAAGATAAAATAATCCTAAAATTAAGACAATGATCTGGACATCTGGAATAACCCAGTGAAGTTAACAGGTTTGCAGGTTTAGAGAGTTTAAAATGAAATATCTGAGCAGGATGCTAAATACAGCAATTGGTAGGGAACCTTTAGGTGAACTTCTTAAATAGGTAATATTGAAAAGTTACATGTGTAACCAATTGTATACTCTTTCTGTGATGGTTCACTGAACCATATTTACCATTGTTAAATAAAGTCAAAAGACCTAAGAGGTCATTTTGATACCAAAAAAAAATTTAATAATTAATATATTTTTAAATAATATAAATATAAAATAAATGTTAAGAGATTTATTTTATATATATAAATATAAATAAAATTTTTAAATTCTAAAAATTTTATAATTACTAACTTTTTTATATATAAGTATTATTAATTTTACTATATAAAATCACTAATTTTTTATATAGTAAACTAATTTAAATAGGTAATTTTTGCAAAATACCATCTGCACCTATTCTTTTATTACAAGTTTAACTATTAACACTATTCTGACTCTAAGAAAAAAAAAACCATTCCAAAACTTTTAAATCTTCATATCAAACAAAATCAATCCTTATCCATAGACTCATACAATACTTCTTAATAAATATACCCATAAATCATATATCTAACAAACCTTCACAAAATAATCACTTTAAAACTTAGTCAAACTTTTTATTAATTCAACTAACTTCACGTAAAATTATTCAACATATCAACCCTCTTTATAATTAACTTCGAAAACAACAAATCCTTTATTTACAAAATTTATAGCCATTCAAAATAAAAAACACTATATACTTACAATAAATACAACAGCGTTCTAAAACAAATTTCAACCTCTACAAAACATTAATTCATTACAATTAGATTTACTATTCTTAGTATATTTATCATAAGCGGCGACACCATCTACATGATCATTCTCTAGTTTTATTGTAATTTTGTGGTAAGTTACGTAAATCAATTTTTCATGTAGCTTTTAATATTGAACACATGCATTTAGTTTCTCAAATGATACAATAATACTGGTCAAACTTTTTTTTAAATAAAGATGATTATGAACATAAACTTATCTATAAATTGGATACTATGAACGATATTAATTAGAATTTATACTTACGAACTAATGAAATGAAAATTTATTTATCGTAATCATTATTAAGGGGTTTAAGTTTCATTGATTTCATTTATTAGTTTAATATAATAATATCAATAATAAAATATAAATAGGGAGTTGCGAAATAGAAAAAGAGATTACAATAATTTATAGTTAAACTTGGATAGGCGAAAGGCTATGTGACTGTCATGTTTGTTATTGATAAAAAATATATGGATATTTCTCAAAATTTTCAAATTTTAATTGTTTAAAAATCCTAAAGACTAAGGTTATACTGAAGTAACACCCTTTTGTGACCGATACTAGAGATGCTGATAAAATTAAGTTCATCAAATTTCACCAATTCAAAACAAATTTCACCAATGGTGGCAAAATTGTTCACATCTATAACTGAGACATTGTTCAATTAATTAAATTAATTGAAGTAATTGTAACAGTTTATTATAACTAATTAGGTCATTCTATAAACTATGAAGCCGAAAGCAGCCGAATCAGTAGATTTCCTTATTTGTAGTATTTGCATTCAGGTTTATGATATCGATTGCCATGGGCTCGTATATTCTTATAATCAGCGAGGCAACTAAAGAATAATAAATATAATACATACGCCAAAATATCTTAACAAGAAATCAATAACTTAAAAATTAATATAAACCATTTTACTTACATCCAACAAAATTCGTGTCTACATAGAGGATTTCCACATTTCATATGATCGCAACCACCACTTTTCTGAATTTTACTTGTACATACAGGGCATTTTTTTAATCTTCGCATAAAATTTTCAGATTTCTGTTCTTGTTTTTGCACCATACTGTTTCTTTTCTGTTCGTCATTTTGCTTGCGTAATTCAGCATTCTTCCGTTCTTTTATAATTTTTAATGCTAACTCTGTATTTCTTTCCTCAATTTCTAATTCTAATAATGCTTGTGACGGTTCAGGATTTTTCTTTTCAGTCTTGAATTTAAACATGGAAAAATATTTTTTTTTTGGTTTGACTTCAGTCATTTCCTCTTCATTTGGTGGAGTCGGCCCAACTCTTTCACATTCAGGACAACTGAGACGATTATTATCAATTGGAAGGTCATGCAAGACACAAGACTTCTGTCCACAATTTGTACATGTCATTATTGGAGCAGCATCTTTAAAAAAATTAATTTTCAGTATAATTAGGCGATAAATGTTAATATTTTATTAAAAGTTTATATAACGATATATTTAATTTACCTCCTTCGTCATGGATTTGCCCCGAGTCACAACCTTGATTTGTACACCAATGAAAATCTTGCACTTGTGATAATGCAAAAAGTAAATTAAGCCGTTCATACCTATAGTAATATAAAATGAATATGAAAATTTCTTATAAATGTGAAATAATTTATTCATATGTCATACCTTTTAAAGGTTTCTTCATCAGCAAACTTTTTAATATCATGTTCTTGTAATTTTTTACGACACTCATCTTCAGGGCATAAAATTTCAAAATTGCCTTTATCCGAAACTTCAGTTTTAATATGTTTTTGAACACATTCACGGCACATGTTGTTTTCGTGATTACATTGATCAGTAACATTTATAAAATCATCTGGATCTACTTGTTCTATGCATATAATACATTCATTTCTTTTCTCAGCAGGGTTTGAAAGGCCAAATTCATTGTAAAAAACTTCTTTTTGAGTAACGTTCTCATCATATATATATTGATATCCATTAGTCCAAAAAGTTGAACCTGCGACATCACATTTCACTGCGAATTCAATGAAAAGTGGAATATTTGGATTTTTAAAAATTGAAAGTTCGAAAAGGTATAAATCTTTTTCTGGTGAATGACTGCCTGATTTGTTTGCAACTACATTATCATATGTTTCCCAAAGATCAGTAGTGTAATCTATTGAAACTTTTTTTCTCCCGTTAGAAACTTTATGTATCACTATTTTCCCTTCGAGATTAATCATATCATCAACTTCATCAACAACTTTTATTGATTCTACAAATACTCCGTTATCCATTTTTTTTCTTTGATAATCATTAAAACTTTTGTATATATGAATATTAGTCGTTATTACTATATTCAACGTTTAAGAGCTTCAGTTTATAAATTTTAGAGTTTCATAAACGGACAAATAGAACGGTCTTGTGAACATTACATACGTTTGTATTTATGTACCATATCATATTTCCGGAAACATGCACTATCTTTCCGTAGATCTGTACTTAAATAGGCAATATTATCTTAAATTGTAACTATCACAATCATAAACGACTTTTAAAAGGCACTCAGTGTACGAACTTATTGAATTAGTAAAAAAAAAAAAAAAAAAATGGGTCAAATTTTTTAAAAAAGAATATAAATTACATAAATGGTTGACCAATAATAAGTAATTGATAAAATGGGGATCACCAAACGCTCCCATTTCGTTTTCCGATTTTAAACTTTTTGAAATACAAATAAGATTATCAAACTCCTATTTAATTTCAAAATGCGTCACTTATTTGTTGACTTTAAAGTCCCCTAACGTAAATTTTGTAAGTTGTCAAACCTTTTATTGCATAATTCATCTACTTCAATGAAAATGAATACTTATTTAAGCTGTACACTTTGAGAAAACCTTGGATAATATTATGCAAGAGACTCTATTATCCATGTAGAAATTGGAATAAAATTTATTTTTCGTAGGCTAAACCTGTCTAAACATTAAGCAAAGCAATAAAAATTTTGACATAGTTGAGTCTGACAGCAAGATTATACATAATAAAATATAAATGATATTAGACCAGACTGCTCTGCACTTTGATTATATTCATGTCGAAGTTATGATATAACATGTTCAGAATATGCAATATTAAAAGTAATGAAAATATTCCTTGTCAAAATATTTCTAAATATTTTGTGTTTGCAGATGACGTTCAATTAAAAACAGAATCAGTGTTATTGATAATAAAATTCGTATACAGTCTTGGCATCTAAGATGACAGCATTCAATACCGTTAAAAAACAAATCTATAAATATTTACAAAGGTCACGACAAATTTATAGATTTCTTTATTAAACTCGATGTTCTAAAAATTCTTTAATATGTTATTGCGATAATACTTTTATGTAGTGATTGGACCCGTCCAGAAAAGTGCCACTCGAGTAGTAAAAAAAAATTTATTATAGGTCACTCGTGGGTGGGTCACCTACGTGGTAAAAGAATTTTATTATAGACTACCTAAGGGTAAGTCATCATGTAAATCAAATTTTTGGGTAACCTATTTATAACCCAACGTTTTACTAGGGTTACGCCTTAACTAATTAAATCATATATTAAAATATTACATTAAATTTACGTTATTTAGTACAAGTACCTAACAAAGATGCATATAAAATTTTTTCAACTTGAAGTTCTTAATTAGCCCTACATGTTAATAGAGCTATTTTTTAAAATTTTTTTAAAAAATTTTTGTAAAAATATATTAAAATAATTAATATAATGAATTTAATAAACTATTGAAGAAAGTAACTCTATTACCATGTAGAGTTATTTGAGATCTTCAAATTAAAAAATTATATGCACTTTTGTTAGCTACTTGTACTAAATAATTGTTTTTTTGATCGTATAATATAAATCGCATTTTGCGTTAATTTCATCATAGCAGAGTTCTGAACTTAAATAAAGAAATCATGATCGTACATTTTCTATACCTATTCTATATTTAATAGGTTAAAAAAAATAATAACACTTATTAGCCATAATGTAATTTACCTCACCAATTACTGATTGCTTTAACAAAAAGTATACGAACTCCGTAATTCATAGTCAAATGGTATATGCAGTGTATATGTAACGATACATTTAACGTTAATGATTGTCCAATCAGAATTAAAGCCCACTATGCTTCTCAGTAGGTCAACCCCAAGGTAGTAACGTCCCAAATAAGGAGATGACGATCCTGATCATGCGTATTTGTTCAGCCAATTAAAATCGAAAAATTTTTATCATATGAAAAATATCACATCCTGATTAACCAATTAAATCGTAAATTTTTATAAACCAAATTTTAATTAAAATTTATGCCTAAAGTTAAAAATAAATGCCATTAAATGTTACTATTAGATTAGCAAGCATCTATTAAATAACTTAAATCGAGATTATTAATTTTTCTAAAGTATTAATTTATAAAACCTTAATAATAATCTATAAATGTTTAATTTTAATTCTATGTTTAATTCGACACCTAATTCTATACCAGCATAGCGAACATTCGATGTGATTGGCTATATTTCGTAGATCATTTGATTGATTTTTCTAAAATATGATTGGGTGATAAAAAAAAAGATCGACCAATTTTTACCGAAAGAACCGTTATTACAGATCATGCTTTAATATTTATTATATTGGATTCGAACTTATCGTCTAAGCGATATGAATAATGAACGTTGTTTTGGTGAATTATAATTTTAATTTAATCCATTTTTGATATTATTCTAATTAAATATGCAGATTATTTAAGACAATAAGCTAGCAAGTATACATATATACAGAAATAAAATAATAAAATAATAGCAGAATAATTCATGTTAAGTAATCTTCAGCTTTTTTGAACTTTTTAATCTAATTTATTATTTATATATATGCCTAAATACTAGTACATACACTGTCATTAACTAATACATTATGTAGTATAAGACAATAAAAGACATCTAATCTATACATATAGGTGTTAATTTTTGATACTTATATAATTAATTCTGATTGGCTAATTTTTGTGTAATTGATTTTGATTAGTTAAAAATATATATAATGGGTATGATGACTTAGTAAAGTGGATAAGTTGTCATACCTCCAAGTAGTAGGTTGTAAATTCAAAACCTACTGATGGGGAAATTTGAATAATCATCTATGTAATATATAGACAGTATTATGGTGACAGCATTCTGTCGATCAGTTGGGATAGGATACCTGTACTATAGTCACACCACATGACTGGCAGGTCTAGGGCATCTATGTAACCTATTACACAGAGGAATGCAAACCAGTACCGGGTGGTGAAACCTAAAATAAGTCCTCAGGTCATGTAAATTCATAGAACTGGGAAGCTGGAGCCTATTTGGAAATTCTGAGCAGAAAGGTAACATGGATTGTCAATAGTACTATTATAAAGATTAGATCTAGAAAATGAATACAATGCAAAGGATTCAGGCAGACAAGAACCGCAAGTGAGAAGTACCACTAACCAGGTTGCTGGATTTCAGACCAGAGGAAAAGGATATTGGGCCAGCCTCAATATACCAAGAACAGGTTATAGTCCTTCTAGGCTATCTGGATTGGGAATCTGAGTTCAAACAGAGATATACTAAAAGTACAAGGGATATACTGTAAAGTCAGTACTAGGGTCTAGGTGAACTCTGTAAGAGTAACCCATATTAGTGTTCTAAAAGTTAGTAGATAGTTAACAACAGAAGGCCCTCTGAGCCTTACTGGTAGGTGATGTACTTTAAAATATGTAATGGTCTAGGAACCAGTACAAAAAGGGTAGGTATTATACTGCTCAGATGGTATACTGGGTAGGTATATACAGGGGATTAGTTGGGGATTCCAATATGACATGGTGGATAATCAGAGAGTTTAAATAGATAATCTCCTAGTAGGTTATAGGTATGGCATCTAGTATAGAACCTTAGGGTGGATTACTTAAATAAGCAACCAAAAGTTGCATGCATAACTAGCTTTACATTCATCTCTGTAAAAATAGTTGTAATAGCTAACCTGATATAAAGTCAATAAAGTATTGCCATAAGTATGGTCTTTAAAATATATATATATGTTGTCTTTTTTTTTATATTAAATACCAATTTTATTTTTTATTTTTATTTTTTTTGGAGTTAAGGTGAGGTCATGCCTCAGGTCTGTTTATTCGAACATATTGTTACAGTTTGTACAACTTTTT